AACCCTCGCTGAATATAAAGCAAGCTTAAAACAAGATTATGGTGAATTATTTAAAGTAGAAAAAAAGTCGCCATCATTAGATCAGCATATCGAAAGCGCCTCAAGCGCTTCTTTGCAAGTAGAAGGTAGCAATAATTATTTACTATTTTATTTTTTGTGATATTTACTATTGAGAGTTATTGAGATGATCTTCTATTATGGAAGATGAGCCGCCGGGTACCGATGCTGGAACAGATGTTCAAATGGTAGCAGATATTACGGGACACTTTCAAGCATCCCAAGAAAATTCATCAGATGAAGAAGAAGATAAGGAAGCAGATCGAGAGGTTCAAGAAATGCTCAAAAACATAAGACTGATCCCTACGAAACCATTATGGGATCCTGAAAAAGATAACCCAAATCGGGATAAATTTTTTGATCCAAACTATGATCCAAGGTATTTTATGTTGTGTTTAATTTTTTGTTGCTTTTAATTTTTTTGCTACATAAAGGTATCATAATGTCTTATTTATTCAATAGCGCCAATCTACCAACTCTTGACCAATATCCTCAACTTCAATTCCCGAAACAGGGCACTAGTGCGATGATCGAAAAAAATATCGAAACTCTTAAGCAATCCCGCATTCTTCATGCCAAACTTGTATCTGCGAGGCATAACATTCCGGTAAATCTTGTATTATGATGATTATTATCATTTTATTATTCGTAAAATTTTGCGTTTCACGTTATGTACATTGTTTTTTAGTTGAGTCATCTTGGTATTTCAGAAAAGCCTTTAGAAGAGACGCCAATAATTAATCCTACAATTGACCAAAGGGATTTACCTCCACTTACTTTGAACAAGGAAACCGGCTTTGCTTGTATGCAGCGCGTTGTTTCTAGGTTATGTCAACACGCAGGATTTGAAGGTAATTCAAATATTTAAATACATCTAATTTAATGCGATCCTTGTCTTATCTGCTATTGTTACTACTTAATAGCAACTTCTAGTAGGGCTTTAACTATTTTAACTGAAGTCGCACAAGATTATTTCTTAAATTTGAGTAAAACTTTACGTGCATATATGGATGAATACAGTAAAAAGATGACTCCTGAGGTAGAGTATATTATTATATAATCTTAAAATCATGTCAACATTTTTTTTAATTATTAAATTTACTATATTATTAGGAAATGATTAATCATACATTGTATGAAAATGGGGTTTCATCCGTAAAAAACCTTGAATCATACATCCATGATGATATTCAACGTTATGGTACGAAATTACAAGATATTAAACGCCGTTTGGAGGCTGCCTTATTGGTAATAATCTTTAAATCCATCCATTATTTTATTATAATTTTATTTGCCAACTTATTACCTACAAACATTTACAGCAACCTGAGGAAATCGAAGATGATATCCCTGATGATGATGCATTTTTAACGTATGTATTGTTTATACCGACTATTTAGGAAATTAAGCTAAAAAAAAAAACAATGAATGATAATATTTTTTCAGGGGTGTGTTCGGCGAAGAATTACATGATGATTTCTTTGGATTCAAAGAGCTCGGTTTAGGACCTTTGCAGGTAAATTTAAATTGATAAATATATAATTTAATGGAAATACAGTCGTCCTCCTCTACAGTCACCTCCTATATAATCACACCTCTTTATAAGCACCATTTTTGAAAATTATTGGCAATTTATTTATAAATAAAAAAAAAACTTTATATAATCACATTATTATTAAAATTTTATAATCACATCTTTTTAATGTAAAACAAACCGCATGGTTATAGAGGAGGACGACTGTATATGTAATCATTGTCATTGTATTTTATTTTTAAAAATTATCATAACAGGTTCCTCCACAATTAATTCTTGGGTCGAAAAGAATAAAGCCTTTACCTAAGAAAGCCTCAGAACATGATGAACGACAATGTAATTGTCTATTTTTTTTAATTATAATTGTTTGCAATTTCTTTTAGCACTACACCGATACTTAGAAGTTTATGCGTATAAAACTTAGTACCTCGTCATATTCCACCACCGCCATGGTCTCCAATAACAGACCCAGAAAGTCAGATCGGTTTGTTAAGAGACTTCTTCCGTGATAAAATAAATGCCTCTATTAACGACCAAATAATTGAGGTAAATTTATATTCGCAAAAAAAAATAAAGAGGCTTTCCATATTTAAAATTATTTAACGTTTTGCTTAGGATGAAAACCTCCCCGCTAAGCATCGAAATCAAAGGCCTCGTGTGCCTCCTACGGGCAAGATTCCCCCACAACCTAGAAGGCAGCTGCAAAAATCCATCGCACAATCTGCTGCTGCTCTTGCAGAAAAAAAGAAAAAGAAAGAACGAGACGCAGCAATTGCAAAAGAAAAGGAAAGAATTAAGCTTCTTAAAGTGGAGGAGCGTGAAAGAAAAAAGGCTGAGAAGAA